AGGCCACAAATGATCGAATCTCCTCGCTCGTACCACGCCGTCCGGAAGCTCTGGAGTCAACGAATCGCCGAGTACGGTGTTGCCTCGTTCCATGTTCCATTCGGACTTTAGACTGCCTCTGACCTCTCTGTTCAAGGTAACCGCGAAGCTAAACGAAATATTACCAACGCGTCGATGATACGAATATTTCCCCTAGAATTTGTCTAATCTCTTTCCGTATCGACGATACAACGTTCCTCCCGAATGTCCTTGAGAATTTTCATTTCAAACGAAGGAACAAACAATTGCTCGATGGAAACTACCGTTCTAACGCGGAACGACCATTGTCCTGTCGTTAAGTATATGTACAAACATTTCTCCTAGAAACCATTCGCTAATTCGCATCGCAGCACTGATATATTGTAATTACACGAATCATCGCCGATCAATTTCACCGGAGATATTCATTTCAAAGAAACAACCGCGAATTAGTCGACGGGGCGATTACTCTAAAGGAATCATAGAGTCTCCCCGCTGCCGCCAACCTGGTCAGTTTTAACGCCAAAAAATTGATAATTCAATGAATTTTATATTCGAAGCGGTTGGCAGTAATTGTATTACTATTTAGCAATCCGGTCCCCTCAGTGACAGAGCTTGAACAGTGCCGATTCAACCTGGTCCGTCGAGGAACAAGTAACGAGGTCAAGCTTTCATTCCTAAAATCGATCAACTGCACGTCTAGACACCTAGTCCAGCGTTGCCACTAGAGTCTAGGGAATTTCTCACGGTAATTCCCCTAAAACGTGTCGCCAATTTTATTATTCGATCCCCTAGACTCTGTAACATAAGTGTACATCTAATAAAAAATTTCATTAGAGGCTCCTCCTCGGTTTATCCGTGAACAACGCTGGCCTAGATCATCGAATACCCTAAAGCAGAAGGGTCGAACAAGTAACGGGGCAACACCGCGTTGCCTCCAATGATAATGCACGATCGACGAAGCTCGAAATCGCTTCTATTCGAGTCCCCAGAGCTTCCAGACCGTTTAAAATTTAATCTAAGTCGATAACAGTTTTTAATTTAACCGAGGCTTGCACAAGACCCATTGGATTTAGCGTATCTGTTCACTCGAATTCACTCACACACGCACTCGCTCTCTTTCTCTCGCACTCCTCTCATCGATTACTCTCTCGTTCGATCGCGAGGGACCGTATTTTATCTCTCTCTTTCTCTCGCTTTCTCTCTCTCTCTCTCTCCAGTTTTTTAGTCCGTTATTATTCGTTCATCTCATCTCGTTTCTTTTTCGTTTTTGTTTCTTTTTCCGTTCATTCTTTCCATTGTTGCTTCCGTTTTCGCATAGAGAATTACGATTAAATTTCTTGATCACCTAATATTGCATGCGCGTGAACACATTTTTCAACGATGGAACAAATTGGGATCGATTCCTCGGCACCCTCAGCTGTGCGCCGCTGAGAGAAACGGTTGAGTGTCGCGTCTGTCGGTGTTTAACGTGTTCCTGTATGAACGTGTGTGTGTGTGTGTGTGTCTCTGTGTGCGTGTATGTAGAACTGCCCGGACATTCGTCGAAAGAATCGGATTTTCCTTTTTCATTTTTCATTTCACGCGCGTATATGCACGCATGTACGCACGCTTGCATATTCGCCCGTGAACGCGTGCACGCGTACATCTTTCTCTGTGTCTGCATTTTCTTTTTTTTCGTTTCCTGTTTCATCGGCATTGGTTCGTTTTTGCTACGCGTATTTCGACGCCAAATGTTGGTTCGTCGCCGGTTCCCGTGGCTGGCCTCGGGTGTGCACAGCTGCTAACGTGTCACGTGGCACGGAATCTTAAGGACTCGATGGTCTAGAATACTCTCAGGTGCGCAGAGATTTCGGAGAAATCGAAAGATCGATTTGATTGATGCGGACAAGATTCTGCGGAAGTCGGAGGATTTTTAATTTTCCTTTGTTTTTGTCTTTTTTTTTGTTTTTTTTTCGTTTTCTTTTTGTTTCGGAGGTTTTCTTTTGTGTCAGGCTCGAGAGTCTGTTGTGTCACAACCGGGCCACGGCCATCAAGGCAAACCTGTTCGGTAATTTTCTTTGCAATTTTACCCCTTCGTTCTTACAGTTTTAAGGATTACAATAATTGGTGACTTCTCATGAGATACTTCAGTAGTTTCGTTCTGTCCCGAGCTCGAGAACCGAAATCGACGGCGATCGATCGATCAATTATCTCCCGATGTGTTCTATTTTATCTGTGACATTTCGCCGAACCTGATAACGGATCAACGGGTACTTTAAAATCGACGGAAGTAAGTAATCCCGGTGGATTATTCGTGAGGAAATCTCTGTTGCAGGTTGGGTCTTTCGGATTCCGATAATGGATAAATAATAAATGGATCTTACGAATAACGTGAATAAATTAGTTACTATTCATATATACGCATCAGAGAAATATCGTTCGCCGAAAGAAGGTAGATTTTTCAAACCGCGAGCAGTTGGTAATAATGAATTACTTTTCGTTACAAATGCACAGTTTCATCATTTAAATTTCAATTCGAATATCCGTGGTATTTTCCGTTTGACGGCGGCGCCGTGAATTGAAAAGAGAACGATAGAGAATACACTTGAAGTATTCCGAAAGGAAAATATATATATACATATATATTTATATATAAAATATTTGCTCACTGATGCAGTGATTATAAAATTAAAATTCATAAGAATAATGAATAACAACCCAACAGGAACATCGAATTAATTTAAGAATGAGGAAAAGATTGCACCGGACTCAGTCGTCGACTCTCGGTTCATCGTCAAGGCAGATCTCGTCCTATTTCGTCAAAAACTGAAGCCTTATCTATCTGAATAATAATAAAGTAGCGTTATATCAGACATCGTGCGAGCCATTGGGAACGCGGCGGGACGCGCGGCTTCTCGCGGCTTCCGTTCACCGATGAATCGATCTCCCTTTCATTTTCGCCTGCACGCTATTCTCTTCTAATACCAATCACTAAAACGTGAATGCCAATCTCGCCCGATCAATGTTTCCCGACACGTTGGCCGATTCAGTCGCGTAGTAAATACAAAATGAAGTTTCCGCATTAAAAAGCCACGCTCGACGCGATATTTTTAAGTTGAATGTACTAATCTTACTATTTGCCAATTAAGTTATTAACCGGTAAACTGAATCTTTCGCTGGATTATCTATAAAAGACAATCTAAAACTCTTACATTACCATATTAATGGCGCGTTAGACGACATAAAAATGAACGACAAATTAAGTAGACGTCAACATACTATAAAATGAAATGCTCGTAGTTATTTTTAAATAACAAAACCACGAACGGTTACCGAACGCGCATCATAAACCGGTCAACGTGTCAAAGTGTCAATTCAAAGTTACACCATCCCCTCGCCAATTTCCATTCTAACATTTCCCACTTCCATGGGAAATAACTGAAAGACACCTCGTTGAAGGAACATCGATTCACCAGTGTCCCAGGCGAGAGGGCAGCGCGTCCCGAAGCGTCCCCCCGGCGCGTCAACTCGTGTTTATGCGTGGTGTAAGGTATTACTTTTAATCAGTATATAGCATATCATTTTTAGTCGTAATAATTATATTGATATTGAACTACCTAACCTAATATGTACAGAGTTTCTTTTCTTTACGCTCTTGGCACTACTTTTCCTCTGATACTCTCCCTTTCATTCTCTCTAGCATACACGTGTAGCCCAGGCATACGCGAAAACAGAGACCTCTCCCGCGACCGCGCGCCGCCATTTTGCTCCCGTCCTCCATCTTGCGACCGGCTTCACGGGCCGACCGGAG